TATCTATCTATCTATCTATCTATCATCATACACACAAAGTTTCTTTAAATATAACATGTATTGTTGAGCCAGAAATCTGTCAGATACTATCAGACTCTTGACTTATATTTCTACTTGTGTAACAAAGAATTCTATTTAGGTTGCCAAACTAGAGAAAACGAAATGGTTATTTTCTCTGCCATCACTATTTTCATCTGATCCTTTAGACTTTTGATTTAGCTCTGTATTCTTTCTTTTTCTACTTGGAATTTTAATTTACTTTCTGAGATGAGTGCACTGAAAGGACGTGCCTTTTGGAAAGGATTCATAGTTTACAAATGAAATTAGTTTCAGTGTTCTGCACAGTGGTTGACTGGAAAAGCAAATCAAGAATGCAGAATATGTGCTCTTTTAACATGCTTTGGATTATTATATTTTGTAATATACACAATGCACTCTTACCTAGTATGATGTATGCCAGATGAGTTGAATTTTGGCTCTCAGCCCAGCATACTTGCTATGAACCATAAGATATGTGTTCCAATAATTAATATTTATTTATATTTTATTTATATCTACTTCTACAAATGCCCATCTCAGCAGTTCAGCTCTGGGAAGCTAACAGGAATTAAAATACAATATAAACTCTATGTATCTATCTATAGACTGACTGACTGACTGACTGACTGACTGACTGACTGACTGACTGTCTGTCTGTCTGTCTGTCTGTCTGTCTGTCTGTCTAGCTATCTAGCTATCTAGCTATCTAGCTATCTGTCATCTATAGTATTTCCAAGCAATTAATACAAAGTGGCTCCTGAAAACATGCTTGGGAAAATTAACATGGAAAATTTCAATAATGAGAAACAACAGCGATTTTGACTTATCTACAAACCTTTGTTAAACATTTTACAGGCAGATGCATAGATACTCAGGTTTTCTGGAGCTGTTCATATGTGATTTACTTTGCTAGCAAAAATATGTTTATAATGTGCATTGTTATTTGTGCTTAATATGCATTTTGTGTAAATGTTCACGCGACTTATAATATTGGACTATACAATTCAATACTAATAAAGTTTGTAACTCAGCTTACTCAAAAAGAAAAGGATTCCAGCAACAACCAAGCAAACCACTGCAATGCCAAACTGATGGTGCATAAGTGATGATTAGGTCATTCAGGTGCCATCATTATGTCTTTGTAGTCCAAAATCTTTTTGGAATCACAGTATGATACCGATGTGCCTCATTGTTTGTTTTGGAAGTGCCTATCCTGAAGCTCCAGAACTTCAGAAGATTTGACTCTGTCCCAGAGTTCTCTAGAGGTTAAGAAATTGCAATGTGTACTATAATAGAAGTAAGAAAGTAATAAGCACATGATTAAAGAGGAAACATATGCATAATTAACTATATTTAATTTTAATGAAATTTATATAGAATGAAAGCAGATCAGAGTAAATTTCATTTCAGAAATAAAGTTAAGTCTTGAATCGTTATCTAATTTATAATATTGTTGGATTCTGGTTTATGAAATAGGTCCGAAACCTAGAGCTACAGAACAAAGTCCTTGAGACCAAATGGAACCTTTTGCAAGAACAGGTCATTCCAGCCAAGAAAAGCCTTGAACCGTGTTACGAAAACTTCATCAGCAACATGAGAAAGCAACTGGAGTGTGTATTGAATACGCAAGAGCATCTAAGAAATGAAAATGCTGCCATTGACCAGCTGGTGGACGACATCAAGTGCAAGTAATGTGTGGGTGATCAGGAGGAGGAGAAGGAGGAAGAGAAGGAAAATGGGGTGGGGGTAGATATACTCACAGTCTCAGATGCTTTATTGTTCTCAGCTGGGGTACCCATTGGCACTAACATGGTATTAGATAGCTTGTTTTATTCAATACTTTTGAAGCACATAGCAATTGTCTCAATTAAAAAGAGGAGACCAGCTATGCAAATTGAAATAAGGTTTATTTCAACTTTTGCTTTCTTTTCTTCTGAACTGGAAATATTTAAAAGACTTAAAAAGAGAGTTAAAGCAAGGTGGGATTAAAGCAATATAATCCACAGGTGGTAATGTCCTATAATGGATTCATAAAAATCTTTAAAATTCTGAATAAGCTCAAAATTATGTTTTCCATAGTCCTCAGTTCTCAAGTCTCATCATCTGCGATACTTCCCTATTGGTTGATTATAAGAACGTTTAAACATGCTTCTTAGATTTATTTTTGTGCTCGGATGCAAACGGAATTGTCTTTTTAAAACTTTCCAGCATAATTTAGACACTGAGTAAAATATCTGAAAATAGCTGTGGAATTATGATCAGTATTTAGAAGTTTCATAAGTCCCTTCCAATTGTATGACAGTACAAAGAAAACTGCCCTGAAAAGTGTTTATTAGATCAATAAATATTTGATGCTCTTTCTGGTAAAGAATGCCTAACGGCACTTAAGTATTAAATATTTTGTCCATATCTCTCGACAATTTGTAAAAAAAAATTTTTTTTGAAGCATGGAAGCCAATCAAATAACCACAAGGAGGGATACATTAACTGGCTAGTGAGCAATATTTCATTGGATGGAATAAAATACTTTGGATTCTTTTACTCAAAGTAATAGAATAACAATCTCTTTAAAATTTATAACCTGACCTGCCATCATTATTTCTATAAATAATTCAAGGTGGTAAACATATCTAATACTACTCCTCTCTCCTATTTTCCCTACAACCACAATCCTGTGAGGTAGATATGTTTGAGAGAAACTGACTGGCCTAAAGTCACCCAACCAACTTTCATGACTAAGGTGTTGTGGACTCATTGTCTCCTGGTTTTTAGACTTAAGGTACCTTAACCACTGGCTTAAACTGGCTCTATGTTAAGTATAGCATATGTCTATGCTATTAACATTATATAATATATATCTCATGGGTTTCACTCATTACATAAAAAAGAAAATGATAACTAATGGACAAGAAAATGAATGGGCAAGGGCATTCAAAATATGTAAATAGCCTAAGCAATTTACTCTATATCATTTTATGGGAAAGGTAGTCTTTATCCTTTTTTGGCTTGCGGTGATTCTCAGAGAGTCGTGCTTTGAATGATACACAGCTCTTATTCCACGTTTCCACAGATACGAACAGGAATTCAAAAGACGCACAGATGCAGAAAATGAATTTGTGCTGCTCAAGAAGGTAAGATTTGTGGATTAGTGCCTTAAACTGCAAAAGAAGGCCTTCCTTCCTTCCTTCCTTCCTTCCTTCCTTCCTTCCTTCCTTCCTTCCTTCCTTCCTTCCTTCCTTCCT